GAATTTTATGCTTTCAAAACAGATATTTTTGATAGCTCTGGCATGGTGGCTTATGCCTGTAATGTCAGAGACTCAAAAAGGCAGAGATTTGTAGTTAGTAAGGACACCCCATCCATCCCAACCAAAGTGCCAGGCATGATGGCTTGGTGCCTGTGTTGCCACCTACTTAGAAGGCAGTAGGTGGGAGAATTACAGTCTGTTGATGAGCATGGGCAAAGACATGGGACTCCACTGGAAAAATAAAAAGCAAAATTGGGGTGATGGTGTAGCACAAATAATAGAGCACTTGTCGAGCAAACATAGGTGCTGAGTTCAAACCCTATTCATTACTCCACACACAAAAAAGGAAACATGTTTTCAATAATTATATTGATATATGTATGTTTTGAAAGATGTGAGAACTGTTTTAAGGTATATTTGCAACCACTTCTCTACAATGAACTAGATAAAAAAGCTAAATGTCATATTTTCTCTCCCAACACCACCAAAACAATCATCTTGATTTTCTATTTGAGAATATTTATCAGAGGAAAAATTTTTTTCATTTTTCTTTTCTTTTTTAATCTGAGACCAAACTCTGTATCTGTCATTTTTGCTCGTTTGCCTGAGCCACACATCCACTCCCATGAAAAAGGTTTTGGGTCTGATAAAATCATCTGTAGGTAAAATTTTGAATGATCACTAAGGCTCTTGATTCTCTTACTAGTTTCATGTCACTGTTCCTAATTCTTGCTACTTTTAGCATAAATTAAGTAATATATGCCTAAAAAATTATAAAGTTAAAAAAAGTAGGTTCTTCAAAATTTCCATCGTGGCTAGGATTTCTAGTGGACTGAGAAGCCCACAAGACAGTTAATCATGAACAAACCCATTTAATTTCCATTAATGATTGCTCAAACACTTGAAGTGTTTGGTTTTAAAGAGAAGGTACATAAATACTTAATTAAAAACAAAAACAAAAACAGGCACTGTTTTTACCTCATGAATTCTTTGTACCACCTTCCTGAACCCAGGATACTTGAACTGTCTTTTGGAATGCTTTGCTACATGATCTAATGCATCCTCATTTAACATTTTAGTTTTAGTTTAACTTCCTTTCAGTCACACTCATCCTGCCCTAGTCTAGATTAGATAACTTTGCTCTGCATTATTCTAAATTGTACTGTACTGTTCTAGAAGAACACACATCTCACCTGATTTTAGCTACCTGTCTTTTATCACTATGCCAGAAGATAATTGGAAGAAGGACTAACCATTGATTTTTCTACCCATATAGCAGCAGAAATATCATTGATGACTAAAAATCCTTTTGGATTTAGAAAATAAAAGTATGGTAAAATATACAATATACATCATGGCTAAATGGTTAGATTTGGCTCAGATAGATGCTAATTTAGAAAATAGGCAATCTAGTATTTGTAGAATTAGCTTGTTAGTCACTGATATTTTTATTTTGTGTTAGGCATATTATTAGGTGTTTCACCATAACACTATTAGATTTTTCTTTTTCTTTTTTTGTTGGTTGTGGGGCTTGAACTCTGGGCCTGGGCGCTGCCCCGAGGCTCTTCAGCTCAAGGTTAGGGCTCTACCACTTGAGCCACAGTACCACTTCTGGTTTTCTGGTAGATTATTGGAGATAAGAATCTCACGGACTTTCCTGCCCAGGCTGACTTTAAACCGTGATCCTCAGATCTCAGCCTCTTGAGTAGCTAGGATTCACGCATGAGCCACCAGTGCCTGGCTGCTGTTAGATTTTTCTGATGAAACTAAGACTCAAAGCGGTGACAGAATTTCATTTGCTGAAGGCCAACAGTTACAAATTCAAACTCAACTTATCTGACTCAAAACTTTGGTCTCTTTCTCTCAAATAAAAATCATCCACAAGAAGTGGTACTTTTCAGACAAGTGTTGTCTTAGCAGTACTTAGACAACAATTAGATTAATTATTTTTATTGCTCCATTAAAAAAAATAATGGCCAGGAAATGCCTTTAGCTTGTCTTAGAGAGGCAAAACTAAGAGTAAATGACTTTTTAAAAATTGAGATGCCGATTTGTTTGTGATTTAATCACAACTTGAATAAGTGGTAGTATTTTTCTTCATTTCAATAAAAATAAAGATATTAAAGATCGAAGAAACAAGACTTGAGATTTAAGGTACGTTAAAATAATGAGACTTTGATTTGTCCAAGTTTTCCTTTGCAGCATGTTATTAATGGAACTAGAATATGATCCCAAGTCTACTGACTCAAGATCTCATGCTGCTTCCACAGATGACCATGTGTCATGAATGCTATAGAGGAAATACTGTCTTTAGGGAGGAAGTTAGTCTGATTGAATGTCAAGTGATTCTTTGATGTCAAAGAAAATCTTTGATTGTTCTGGACTGATTTTTTTTTTAAGTGGTAGTATTAGGGATTGAACCCAAAGCTGCCTTGAACTTGCTTCTTGGATTATTCCATTACTTAAGTCATTCCTTCAATTCTTTTGCTTTTAGTTTGTTTTTCAGAAAGGATTTATTTTCTCTCTATAATTTTGTAGTTTCTAGAAAATCCTGTTTTATGTCTTTGTATTTATGTCTTTTTCAGTTCATCCCTGCTTTTACTAAATGGCTTCTGCATCTTGAGGAAGTCAAAAGTCTTAATAAGCTAATTTTCCCTTTACTTCTTTTCTTGACTATTGATCTTTGAGTTTTTTTACTGAGACAGACAAAATGTTTACTCTATTGAAACATGGATGGCTGGTACATGGCCTTTTTTTTTTTCTAATATTTCCAACTATTTGAACCCTACCTTCAGCTTTATGAATAGCAATCAACCTGCTGCTAGTCTCTGTTTACCACCAATACTGTCAATAAGTTATTGGCATTTTTTCTGTCCCCTCTCATATCTGCCTAATTACAAGACTTCCCATTTCTCTGTGTGGTTTTAATCTTTGTTTTCACTCTTGACTGTAACCTAAATTAAAAGGCTTTATTTTCAAGCAGTTTTAGGTTAACAACAATATTAAATAGAAGGTACAGAGATTTTCCATATATTCCTTGCCAAACATAGGATAGCCTTCTCCTTTACCAGTATTGTCCAACAGAGTAATACACCTGATACCTCATATTATCAGAAGTCTATACTTTATGTTAGAGTTCACTCTTATGTGTCCTGTGTGTTTAGGGAAATGTGTAATGGTGTGTATTCACTCATTATAATATCATATGACTTCACTGCCCTAAAATTCCTCTGTACTCTGCCTTTTCAGATTTGTCATTGATTTTGTTTGAATATGCATAGTTCATTGAGTTTTTCAGATTGTACAGCTATAGGTTAGAGTAGGTTAGAGGTTGAAGTGAATTTTTCTTTTTCAGTCATGGGGCTTGAGCTCTGGGCCTGGGCTTTGTACCTCAGCCCTTCAGCTCAAGGCTACCATTCTACCACTTGATTCACAGTGCCACTTCCAGTTTTCTGATGGTTAATCAGAGATAAGAGTCTTACAGACTTTCCTGCCCAGGCTGGCTTTGAACCACAATCCTCAGATCTCAGCCCTCTGAGTAGCTAGGATTACAGGTGTGAAAAACGAATGTCCAGCGAAGTGAATTTTTTTTTAATTGTTGTGTATTCTACTAAAAAAGGAAAAATACTCCTAGATAAATTCACGTTTTATCTTAGTCAAAAGCCCAAGATAGCAGGGCTGGGAAGGTGGCTCAGTGGTAGAGCGCTTGCCTTGCATGCATGAGGCCCTGGGTTTGATTCCTCAGCACCACACAAGCAAAAAGAAAAAAGCCGGAAATGGCGCTGTGGCTCAAGTGGTAGAGCGCTAGCCTTGAGCTGAAGAGCTGAGGGACAGTGCCCAGGCCCAGAGTTCAGGCCCCACGACCAGACCCCCCCCCCCCAAAAAAAAAAAAGCCCAAGATAGAATATACATGCATGATCAGGCATCGGTGGCATATATACCATATATATGTATATATATAAATATATATATTTATATGCATATAAACTTATATGCATATAAATATATATATTTTACATTGTGAAAAATGCAATGATAAAAAATAACCAGGGAGGATATAGGTGCCACAAATTTAATTGGAGAGGTAGAGCAGACTATGAAGATAGTGACCCTTGAATAGAGACCTGAAGGATGTATTTAGCTAGAACACTCTAGAAAGAGTGAGGCTATGTGGAATAATTAATAATTGTTGGAGTGGAAGTTACACAGAGGGCATTTTAGGACTGGAATAAGTCATTGGAAAGATTCTGTAATTTCTGCAGAACTCCTTGACATTCCCTATGGAATATGAAACATGTAGATATAATTTTATTATTAAAATATATAACCACAGAGCATCCAGGAATGAGGTTATTTTTTTTTTTTTTTTTTTTTTGTCGGTCGTGGGGCTTGAACTCCGGGCCTGGGCGCTGTCCCTCAGCTCTTCAGCTCAAGGCGAGCACTCTACCATTTGAGCTACAGCGCCACTTCCGGTTTTCTGGTGGTTTATTGGAGATAGGAGTCTCATGGTCTTTCCTGCCCGGGCTGGCTTTGAACCACGATCCTCAGATCTCAGCCTCCTGAGTAGCTAGGATTACAGGCGTGAGCCACTAGCGCCCGGCTGAATGAGGTTATTTTTAACTGAATTGTAACAGTTTTATTTGGTATTTTATGTTAAGATGTTGTCAAGGAGTATTAGCTCAAAAGTACCTGAAAGATGAGAGTTAGCCACCTATATTAGTTCTTTTGTTTGTTTGTTTGTTTTGTTTGTTTGTTTTTGGGGTCCGGTCGTGGGGCCTGAACTCTGGGCCTGCGCGCTGTCCCTCAGCTCTTCAGCTCAAGGCTAGCGCTCTACCACTTGAGCCACAGCACCACTTCCGGCTTTTTTGTTTTTGCTTATGTGGTACTGAGGAATCGAACCCAGGGCCTCAGGCATGCAAGGCAAGTGCTCTACCACTGAGCCACCTTCCCAGCCCCTAGTTCTTTTGTTTTAAGGTTTGTAATAACAATTTTTTTTCCAGAGGTGAATCAACATGATGGATTTCTCTAAGCTACCGAAAATACTTGATGAAGACAATGAAAGTGCATTTGGTTATGTGCATGGGGTCTCAGGACCTGGTAAGTAATATATATTCATCTCAAAAGTAAGGATTCCTGATTTGATTAATGTCTTTTCTAGGTATTTTAAGTAGAAATACATAAATTCCTGTCTACCTACCTATATAAATTTTGTTTGTTCTTAAAAGATTGTATCGTATCTATAGGATTGGAATATAATACCTCTATCATAAGATATCATCTAACATTGATCATGTAAATTTGATAATTATTTAAATGCTATTTTTGGTGTCCTGCTTGTGTTAGTATTATTGGTTTTTAATGCTTTGCCTGTGTATCTTATTAAAAATATGAGTATACATTACCTGAAATGGTAACAATAAAATTATTACTCATCTGGCTACTCCACAAATTTTTGCTAGTTAAGTGGAGATGGAGATTCACAGACTTTTTTTTCTGGGCTGGCTTTAAACAGTGTTCTTCAGATTTCAGCCTTGTGAGAGCTAGTGTTACAAGTATGAACAACTAGTACTCTGCTGTTTTCAATTTCTTGTGTCATTCAGAGGAACTGTTTTCCCCTCAAAATACCATAAATGTCTTTAGACAGACAAACTGAAAACAAGAACTTTTAGAGAAAAAGAACAACCTTTTAAATTTAATTCTGTTATGTTTCAATGTAACTTAATTATATACTAATTGTAATAGAACTTATGGAATAAATTTTCAATTTTCCTAATACAGTTGATTTAAGCATTGATAATTTAGTAGTTTGTACTGAAATATTGCCTACATATTGCCAGTGAATTATTCTTTCATTTCCAAAAATGTAGTAGTCTTCCTTCCTTTTCAGAAAATTAATTTTTGCTTATTTAACAGCATAATAATAAGCTTGTAAGATCTAAATCTGGCTCAGTACTTATAAGAAATAGTAATTCTTTTTATGTTTAACTCTTGGTTTGTTTGAACTCATTTTGCCAGGTATGTGCTATACCATTTAAGTTACATCTCCAGCTTGTTTGTTTTAGAGCTGTTTGTTTTTTCCAAATAGGGTCTGGCCTTTACACAAAGGCTTGTCTAGACCATGATTCTCCTACTTATGTTTCCCATATAGCTGAGGTGACAGATGGTATAGCCAGTATGCCCAACTTTTTATTGGCTGAGATGGGGTCTCGTGAAGTTTTTCTGCCCAGACTAGCCTTAAATCACAATCCTCTGATCTTTGCCACCTGAGTATTTTAGGATTACAAGTGTGAGCCCAGCAGAAGTAGAGATCCTTAACTGGGATTTTGTACAGTCGTGGTGACCAGTCATAAGTGTTCTGTGGTTTAATGAAGTCTTTTTCTGGGAGAGAGTGGGGGAAGGAGTGACAATGTCCAAAAAGACATGTACTCTTTACCTGACTTACGTAACTGTAATCCTTTTGTACATCACCTTTTATAATAACAGTAAAATATTAAATTTTAAAAAAGTGTTTAGATGCATGTGGGAGTTTTTCTGTGATACTAGAAGCTATCAGTAGTTTATCAAAAAGTTCATATCCCATTTAGGAATCACAGACTTAAAATATTAGAAAGTAATGGTACTGCTTTTAAATATTACGTGTCAAGGGCAATGGTTATAACATAGCAACTGGTTGTGTGTCATTCTAAAACTTTTATTCAAATTTAATAGTCTTTTTATTGTTCTAAAATCTGTTACTGCATGTATTATAGTAGCCTGAATTGATCAAAATGTACCCCAATATTAGCAGAGTTTGCATATAGTACTTCAAACATTCGAAAATCGTTTCCTTTATATTAGTAACCCATAGCCTAACAAATTTACCTCTTTGTATCATAATAAGAACACATATTCATGTAAAACTATAAGAATATTTTCATAGTAGGATTTTCATCTTAAGTGTATATGAATGGGCAAGCTTTTTGATTTATTGGGATTTAAAATTATCTGTGATTATTCACCAAATGGGAGAGTCTTACATCGTCCAAATTCTTTTTCCTCTCCAGTGGTTACAGCCTGTAACATGGCAGGTGCAGCCATGTATGAGCTAGTGAGAGTGGGCCACAGTGAGTTGGTTGGAGAGATTATTCGACTGGAAGGTGACATGGCTACTATTCAAGTGTATGAAGAAACATGTATCCTTTTGTTGTAACATTTCCTGCCACTTTCTGTGTGATAAAATTAAGGATTTTCAAACCAAAGGTAGAAGCAGCACTAACCAATGATAATAGAATCATGAAATATTGCTGTCATGGAAAAGATATGATTTATATAGGGATATATTAAAGGAAAGGAGGAAAACATTCAGAAGTGGTACTCTCATTTTACTAAATTAGTATGATGCTCTTAATTTCCATTGTTTTTAATGTTTCAATGGTTTACAAACTTCAGGGGGATCCAATTGATTTTTTTTCCCCAGAAAGTTGCATATTGTAGAAGACAAATTAAAAAGCTGTTGATTTGTGTATTTAAAATTCCCCAATCATGGGCTGGGAAGGTGGCTCAGTGGTAGAGCACTTGCCTTACATGCATGAGGCCCTGGGTTCGATTCCTCAGCACCACATAAGCAAAAAAGAAAAAAGCCGGAAGTGGTGCGCAAAAAAGAAAAAAGCCGGAAGTGGTGCTGTGGCTTAAGTGGTAGAGCGCTAGCCTTGAGCTGAAGAGCTGAGGGACAGCACACAGGCCCAGAGTTCAGGCCCCATGACCAGACCCCGCCCCCCCAAAAAATTCCCCAGTCATGGTTTCTGTTTAATAAAGTTATAGTTAATCAATCAGTAGTCCTCTTTTCTACTGAGTAGCATCAGATGATATACTATATTACAGCTTTAGCAGTAGGAAATCCTTATTGTTTCTTTACCAGAGTATTGTATTTTAAACATAATACTTATTTTTAATTTTCTGTGAAAAATAGAGGTAAGAGTTAAGCCTTATGAAGAAGAATCTCTTTTTTGGACATTCATGTATATGTTTTTACTTTTCAAGATCAGTATTAATTGTTTGGGTATTCAGGTTTTGTTTTGCAACCCTTTTTGGCATTCTTAAATGTATTCTTAGACTGAGGATATAGCTCAGTGGTAGAACACTTGTCTGGCTTGTACAGGCTCTAGATCTCTAACACCACAAGTAAACTAAAAATAGATAGCAAAGTTGAAAAAATAAAACAGCATAGTGACAGTTGTTTCTCCTGTATTAATACTGGATGCTAAAATGAAATTGTCTAAAAATAAATAAATAAATAAGGGCTAGGGACATGATAGAGCACTCAGCTGAGAGACTTTGAGTTCAAACTCCAATACTGCCATAAAGAAACAACAAGGAAATTTAAAAACACAAAAACAATAAACCAAAAACCCAGCATCTTTATAGGCATGAAATGATGTTAAACAGAAAGGATTTTTTTATTTAACTTTATTTCATTTACTTTCTATTCAATCTATATTGCATTTACCTTTTATTTTTGTTTTCAGAAATACTAGTGATTGAACCAGAGCTATACACTCTACCCCTGAGATACACTCTAGCCCATTTTTAATCTATGATTTTCATGATTTGAAGATTTGTAATAAATGAAAACATATATAACAGCAATCCTCCCTACCTTTATTGTCTTCTCTGACCAGTTCTCTGTCTCTCTGTCTCTCTGTCTCTCTGTCTGTCTGTCTGTCTCTCTCTCTCTCTCTCTTTCACACACACACACACAGCCACTTTTTTCATTTCCTTTTAATTATGATCTTTCTAGCTTTTAAACTGTATTACTGTAGCTACATATTCTCTCCCCACAAGATTTGTTCTTTTTTTCCACTTAAACCTATTTAAGGGGGCTGGGAAGGTGGCTCAGTGGTAGAGCGCTTGCCTTGCATGCATGAGGCCCTCGGTTCGATTCCTCAGCACCACATAAGCAAAAAAAGAAAAAAGCCGGAAGTGGTGCTGTGGCTTAAGTGGTAGAGCGCTAGCCTTGAGCTGAAGAGCTGAGAGTCAGCGCCTAGGCCAGAGTTAAGGCCTCACTACCGTACCCCCAAAAAATAATAAACAACCCAAGCCGGGCACTGGTGGCTCACTCCTGTAATCCGAGCTACTCAAGAGGCTGAGATCTGAGGATCACCGTTCAAAGCCAGCCCGGGCAGGAAAGTCCATGAGACTCTTATCTCCAATAAACCACTAGAAAACTGGAAGTGGTGCTATGGCTCAAGTGTTTGAGGGCTAGCCTTGAGCTGGAGAGCTGAGGGACAGCGCCCAGGCCCAGAGTCCAAGCCCCATGACCAAAACACAAAAACAAAAATAAACCCAACTATTTCAGAAGATAGGTAGATAAAGTGATCAAATACTGTAAAATTTTACTGGCAAAATCAGACAGTAGAATAGGAGTGTTCACTGAAAAGTTTTTTTAAATATTGTAGATTTAAAATTTTCATAATCAATATCAAGTATCTTTTCTAGAGCAATTCCTCAAAGTTCTTTTTTTCTTTCATAGAGAAATAGAATTCCTTCATGGGTCTACTATATAATAATCTCTTAATAGAAATTTTGATTAATATAATTGTTTGCTGTTATTAACAGTGCTGCAGTGTAATTGATTTGAATTCATAGATGTTTTATTCCTAGGTAAAATTGTATTCATTTTTAATTTTGATATTATTAAATTGCTCTCAAAAATAGTTGTACTGATTTTACTTCAACAAATACTGGAGAATATAATGGATTCACCATGTTTATTAGAAGGTTATATTCTTTTGCTTTTCAAAGGTACTTCCTTGGTTCTTAAGCTTTTGTTTGTGCAGATACTACTTTCATTTTTTAGGGTCTTGGAATTCTTCAGTAGTATGTTGGAAATGGTGGCTGTTGAGAGGTTTGGTCCTCTATTTTTAGCTCTGTAGTTCCAAGAGTGTGGAAAGGCACTCTGGGTAACCAACAGCAAACTCATATGGTACTGAGGATGTTTGAAATTTTTGAGGTCAGCCTAGGTTTATTAGATAGCTTGTTAGACACTACGTAAAAGTCTAGGTTAAGATAATGAGCAGTTTCATTACAGTGGTGTCCTATCTTTGTAAAGCTGCATTTTGGTGGTTGCTAAAAAGCAAATAGGTGAAAATCATTGTGGAATGGGTTTTCAATCTGATTGTAAGGTTTGAATGTTACACAGTGTCCAATAAGGCATATACATTTTTCTGTTCATACAAAATGTAGTATTTAGAACAAAAATTAATACCCTTTTGTGTTTTAGCTTATACGGTTTTTCTGGTTTTTTGATTACTCAGTTGTTAGAGTGTATATTGTTTAGGTATAACTTTAATAAAATTATTAGTCATATCTTGCCTTAGGACATTGTGAAAATATTACTAAAATTTTAAAGGTGCTATGAACTGAGGTTTGGAAATTTCTGTTAAATGTTAAATTCTGTTAAGTGTCATTCCCATTTTAAACTTTTATTTCCTGTTAGTAGTACAGTATCTTCAAACTCTATTGTAAATTTTCCTCAACTACTGTTTCTAGCTGGTGTGTCTGTTGGCGATCCTGTACTCCGCACTGGTAAACCTCTGTCAGTAGAGCTTGGTCCTGGAATTATGGGAGCCATTTTTGATGGTATTCAAAGACCTTTGTCGGATATCAGTAGTCAGACACAAAGTATCTACATTCCCAGAGGAGTAAATGTTTCTGCTCTTAGCAGAGATATCAAATGGGAATTTACACCCAGCAAGAATCTACGGGTATGTCTGTCACCACGAATTTCTAAAGCTGTTGAAAGAATGTAAAATCAATGTTAAGTGAATTATTTTATACTCTTGGTTCAAATAAAATAGACTTCAAAAGCACAATTTAAATTTGCTTAAATGCATTAGTGTGTTTATAGAACTAACATTTTATAATGACAATGATTTATGATGTGGAAATAGGTGAGTCTATCTGATGTTTATTGAACATTAAACAGTAAATGTATTTATCCTCTAGGTTGGAAGTCATATCACTGGTGGAGATATTTATGGATTTGTTGATGAGAACTCACTTATCAAACACAAAATTATGTTACCTCCAAGAAACAGAGGAACTGTCACTTACATTGCTCCAGCTGGGCATTATGATGCCTCTGTAAGGATCATTTTTATTTTATTCCCCACAGTTGCCCTGTTTAAATGTACTAGTTTCACAGTTTCCTAAACAGTTAAATTGATATTTGATATATGGCTTATATACATAAGTATATAATGCAATTAAAATTCATGCAGATTTTTAGGGAGCCTTGAACTTTGGAGTTTTGAGTAGTGCACTCAGTGAACTCAAATGGTATCATATTTTTACCTTTTTGCTTTTGTAAATATTTGGTTTAAATATTATAAAATAGCCTACTAATTTTGTGTGAGTGCTAGTACCAGTTCTTGAGCTGAGAATTGTGTGTTCTTGCTTACTTTTCTTGCTATAGATAGTGCTCTACAATTTGAGCAACTCTTCCAGTCCAGAACTTTGTTAGTTGAAGATTAATTCTCAAGGACTTTCCTGCTTTAATCTTAATCTTCATATCTCAGCCTCCTGATGAGTAATTAGGACTCTAGGCGTGCATCCAGCTCACTTGATTTTTTTTTAAAGTAGGACCATACATATTCACATGAAAAACTGTATTGTTCATTTATTGTTCATATATCCCCAAGAGGAATCTGAGGTTAATTAAATTTTGGAGGAAGAAATAATAACAAATTCAGCCATACTTAAAATCTTGCTGTGATGTTATAGGATGTTGTCTTGGAGCTTGAGTTTGAAGATGTGAAAGAGAAGTTCAGTATGGTCCAAGTATGGCCTGTCCGTCAGGTTCGGCCTGTCACTGAGAAGCTGCCGGCCAATCATCCTTTGCTGACTGGCCAGAGAGTCCTTGATGCCCTTTTCCCGTAAGTTTGATATGCTTCTTGGAGTTTTCCCTGTTATTTTATGTGTTTATTGTTTCATTATCTTTATAGGTAGAAGTTTTATGCATTTAATGGTATAATAAGTTATATCTGGATAATAATAGTAAATTAGTAAAAATGCCTTTATTTGTTGCTTAAAAAAAAAAGCCCTTCCCCACAGAGGTAAACAGGAAGCATTATTTCTATTTTATTTATTTATTTATTTATTTTTGGGTCCGGTCATGGGACCTGAACTCTGGGCATGGGTGCTGTCCCTCAGCTCGTCAGCTCAAGGCTAGCACTCTACCACTTAAGCCACAGCGCCACTTCCAGCTTTTATTCTTTCTGCTTATGTGGTGCTGAGGAATCGAACCCAGGGCCTCATGCATGCAAGGCAAGCGCTCTACCACTGAGCCACCTTCCCAGCCCAGAAAGCATTATTTCTAAAACTTTATAAAATAACATCTCCAGAACTATCTTTCTTAAGTTGTCCTAGAATTAGTAGTTTGCATTACTACAAATGGGTAATTCCTAATATCAACTAGTCTATGCTGCCAACCATCTTAAGTTATAGTATGCTCTTCTCCATTTTTTTAATGCATTTTTAATTGTTACTGTGAAGGTGATGAACAGAGAGGTTACAGTTATATGTCAGATAAAGAGTACATCTCTTTTTGAACATTGTTAACCCTTCCCTTGCTCTAATTTTCAACATAGTATCTAGTGAGTACCACTGCTGTATTTGTTCACCCTTTGTCCCCTACCATTTCTGTGTCCCCCCACTGCTTACCTTCCCAAAGACAGATAAATGAACAAACACAAAGAGCAAAAACAGCGGGGCTGGGAAGGTGGCTCAGTGGTAGAGTGCTTGCCTTGCATGCCTGAGGCCCTGGGTTCGATTCCTCAGCACCACATAAGCAAAAAGAAAAAAGCCGGAAGTGGCGCTATGGCTCAAGTGGTAGAGTGCTAGCCTTGAGCTGAAGAGCTTAGGGACAGTGCCCAAGCCCAGAGTTCGGACCCAAAAAAAAAAAGAGCAAAAACAGCAACAAAAGAAAAAACCTCGTTTCCATTTCATGTAGTTCATTTCAATAAATTATGTTAAGCAAAGTAAGCCAGACCCAGAGAAACATTGTGGTAGCTACAGTGTGCCTATAAATCTACAAGTAAACACACTGAAAGTTTTGGAGATAAAAACATTTTAATGCATATATTCACTTTATATTGAAAAATCATTATTATGATTAAGAATGCAAATTTCCTGTGATTTTTTTTTTTTTTTTGGTTGATTATGGGACTTTGAACTCAGGGCCTGGGCATTGTCCCTGAGCTCAAGGCTAGTGCTCTACCAATTGAACCACAGCACCCTTTCCTGTTTTTGAATGGTTAATTGGAGATAAGAGTCTCATGGTGCAGAGGGGGCGGGGGTTAGGAGAAAAATGAGGGAAGGGGTAACCAGTTTGACAAGAATGTACTTATTACCTTACCTGTGTAACTATAACCCCTCTGTACATCACCTTGACAATTTAAAAAAAAAAAAAAAAGTGAGGAAAAAAGTAAGTTTCATGGGAACTTTACTGCCAGGCTGGCTTTGAGCCAGATCTCAGCCTCCTGAGTAGCTAGGATTACAGGCGTGAGCCACCACCAGTGCCTGGCTCCTATGATTTTTATAATAAAAAAAATTACAGACTCTTTGTTTAGCTTTAAATTCCATTTCTCTTGCCAAGGCTCATCCTCTCTCACCACACTTGGATCAGTTGTCCACTTTTTTCTTCCCTAAACAGTATTTCATTTTCCACTGCAACTTTTTAGAAAGTTTGAAAGTAGCTGCTAAATGCTACCATAATCACAACTCCATTTCATTAGTTTATCCCATTGGAATTTGATCTTTGAAAATAAAGAAACATAACTAATTGGCTGTTTTTTGGTTCTTCCAAGCACGGGTTTTAGTCTTAGTGAATAGTAATGAATAGATAAAAGGAAATGAGTTAACACCATAATAAAACTCTGCTTGCTAAATTTTTATAGTTTTATAGGGCTTGATTTAAACAACCAAAGCATAAACTTACAAGGGGACAAATTTCAAAAGTTATTCTTATTTAAAATTTTTTAATTCCTCTGTTGTCTTTTCATGAACTTTTTTTTGGGGGGCAGAGCGGGGACTTAAACTCTGGGCCTGGGGGGCCTGGGCATTGTCCCTCAGCTCTTCAGCTCAAGGCAAGTGCTCCACCACTTGAGCCACTTCCAGTTTTCTGGTGGTTAATTGGAGATAACCAGCCTGCCCGGGCTGGCTTTGAACCATAATCCTCAGAACTCAGCTCAGGAGTAGCTGGGATTACAGGTGTGAGCCACTGGCACCCGGCTAAACTAATTTATTTAAGCATTCAGAATGTCATTAGTACTATTTTATGTATCTTATTATTTTTCATACCCCTCTTACTGCCTTATGGGATATACTTTCATTTTTTAACTATAGTAGATGATAGAGACAATTACTACTAGTAAAAACATACACTGTTAAAGCACAAAAAAGGAGGTAATTACTATATCTATGTCTATATGTCTTGTGTGTGTGTATGTAAAGATAAAAATATTTTGGAGTAGGGTCAGAGCTGGATCAAGTAGTAGAGTACCTGTCTGGTCAGTATGCATTCAAGCCCCAGTAGCAAACAGACAAGAAAAGAAAGGCCTTTTTTCCCTTAATTTGGTTTTTGTTTTCTGTGTGTGTGTGTGTGATGTGTGTCAATTACCTACTTACTATGGTATTTCTTAGCACTGTGTGTGTGTGTGTGTGTGATGTGTGTCACTTACCTACTTACTATGGTATTTTTTTTATTGTGAAAATACTGTACAGAGGGTTTACAATTACATGGTCAAGATAGTTTCTTATCAAGCATTGTAGCCTCCTCCTTTGTTTACCCTTCCCATCCCTTCCCATCCTCCCTCCCCCCCCAACCCTCCCCCTCCCACCCAAGTTGTAAAGTTCGTTTTCGACATGACAACTTGTACATCTCATTGTTGCAATGGGTCCACCTGTATCCTTATTTAAACGACTTGTTTTTCCCCTTCCCCTCCACAAATGATACCGACATCAAATACAGTGAAAGCAGGGGTTATACTGTGGGGGAGGGACTATGGCATTTCTTAGCACGTAGAGTAATCCATCCTTTATTGTCTTTGTTTAGGTGTGTGCAGGGAGGAACTACTGCAATCCCTGGGGCTTTTGGCTGTGGAAAGACAGTGATATCACAGTCTTTGTCCAAGTATTCCAATAGCGATGTGATCATTTATGTGGGATGTGGTGAAAGAGGAAATGAGATGTCTGAAGTTCTCCGGGACTTCCCAGAGGTCTGTATATAGGCGGCTTCAAATGAAATTATATACAATATATCAATCTTCATTGGCAATTAAACATTTGTGTTGTGTCCAGAGCAAAGCTCTCATTTCTTCAGGGTCTTTTTTGGGATAATATTTATGATCAATCTGTATAGTAGGTGAAAGGAATTTGACTTTTTTAAAGTTGAACATTTGAAAGATTTTTTTTTTTTTGGTGGATCTCACCGTTTTCACTTACTGGAAAAAAGATAATACAGACAAAACATTTATGCTTGTGAACTTCATATAGGTTTTGTGATCTGCTAGGTTACTATAGTAATAATTTCTTTTTTAGAAAGTAACAGATTTCTTAATGTTGTGGATATACCTATCTTCTTAACAGTGTTCTGGAGCAGAAAGGAAAGGTTGGAGTGATGGGGAATGTTACTTTGTGAATACCAAGTAGAGGGATTAAATATGACAGGCTGTTAAGAAACAAAAGAGGGGAGAACTAGAATGCCACAGTTAGAAATTGGAGGATCATGAATGTATTCCTTTTTTCTTCTTCTTTTTTTTTTTTTTTCCCAGTTGTGGGGCTTGAACTCTAGGCCTGGGCGCTGTCCCTCAGCTCTGCAGCTCAAGGCTAGTGCTCTACCACTTGAGCCACAGTACCACTTCTAGTTTTCTGGTGGTTTATTGGACATAAGAGTCTCATGGACTTTGCTACCAGGGCTTGTTTTGAACTGTGATCCTCAGATCTCAGCCTCCTGAGTGGCTAGGATTACAGGCTTATGCCACCGGCACTTAGCTTCATTAATGTATTTCTTTACCCCTAGCTCACTATGGAAGTTGATGGGAAGGTGGAGTCCATCATGAAGAGGACAGCATTGGTGGCTAATACCTCCAACATGCCTGTTGCTGCTAGAGAAGCCTCTATTTATACTGGTAAGTTATGAATTAGAATAAAAACAGGTAACATCTGTTCTTAATATTAACACTAGCACCAAATTATCCTTTTTCAAAGAACTTCTCTTTCATTTACATTGTATTTCCATAGAATCACATTCCTAGCTTTTAAGAAATAGTTACTGTCTCTCTCAAATACAGAAGCATAACATTTATAAATAAAGCTGTCTTGATCTTCTTAATGATCATAAAATGGAATATCTACCTTTTCCTATATTATATATTTTGCCATTGTTCTACCTTTTTAATTTAACTTAATTTTGGTTGTTGGTTGTGGGGTCTGAACTTAGGACCTGGGTGCTGTTCCTGATCTCTTTTGCTCAAGACTAGTGCTCTACCACTTTGAGCCACAGCTCTACTTCCTGCTCTACCTTTTAGTATACCTATACTTCTATAACTTGCTTTAAATTACTATTATGTTGAGTGTAGATATAAAAGATATGAAAATTAGTGTGAGCTTATACTTTGTGTTCCAGCTTTATTCCACTCTTATCCCAGATTTCAGTACTTTAATTTTTCTGTTTTCAGGATTTATTGTTTATATTCTATTCTGAAATAATAAACAAGTATTTTTTTTATCTGTAGACCTTCAATAAAACAGAGTTAATGTTAGCCGACAGTGCTTTGACTACAGTTTATCCATTTATTTTTTGTTTATCTAAATTTACCTTTTGGAAGTTTCTTCAAAAAACGCCCATGGAAATTATGTTGTTGATTTTTTTTATTTCCTCGTAAGTTTGGTCTTCTGTTGCCTTTAAGTTTAATATTAGTTTAATTGAATATAAAATTCTTGAATCAGTATTTCTATGTGGTCTAGTGGTTTTCATTTATTGGGAAAAAGATAAAAATAGGCAAAACATTTACATATGTGAACTTTCATAGACTTTATTGTCTATTAGGTTCTATAGTACCAAAATAATGTACTTTCATTTCTGAAGTGAAATGGTAATAATGCCTATGAAATGTTGCTCAGTACAAAAATTCTTGGACCACCATTTCTTCCCTTGAACACTAGCCTTTTTTCCTTGTAGAAGTGGTTTTTTTTCTTTTTGCCAAAAGGGATTTCTCTTTAACTGAAGTCTTGATTGGAATATATCTCAGCACTGATAATTTTTTTTCTAAGATATGTATTGTATTCTTTCAGTCCATGAATGTGTTTGTTTGTTCCAATCCTAGGGCCTTGAGCTCTTGTTTATTAGCTTTTATACTCAAGATTGGTAGCCACACCTTCACTTCCAGCTGTCATATTTGTCTGCCTTGCCTGGTTTCAAACTATGATTTCAAATTTTAGCCTCATGAATAGTTTAGGATTACAGGTGTAAGCCACCAGCATCTGGCTTTTATGTCTTTTATTTCAAAAGAATTGTATTTGAGTGGTTAATTAGAGATAATAGTCTCATGGACCTTTTGGCCTGGGCTGGCTTCAAGTTGTGATCCATGGATCTTACCTCCTGAGTAGGTAGGATTATAGGTGTAAGCCACCAGCTTCTAGCTGTCTTTTTAAACTGCCAACTGTGCATATAGGATCTCTTTTATTTGCTTCCAAATGTGTCTTCCCTCTTCAATCCTTTTTACTTAGCCTTTTGTCCATACACAGGATAATGGTGTTTATTCTTTGTGTTGCTTCTAATGATGCCTTCGTTTTTGTAATAGCTTAATTTTTTTCTGGCCATTTGTTGAGTTCCACTTAGAAAACATCTCTTTTTTTATCCTGCTGGATATTCTTTGAGATTTTATCTTATGGCAGGATACATTCTTAAGGGGTGGTGGTTGTTGGTGTCATTGTTGTTGAGATACAGTTTTGCTGTGTATCGAGCCTTGAAGTTACCTTAGCCTTTTAAGTGGTAGAATTATAGGTGTGTGCCATCACACTCAACTCTAGGTTTTCTTTTTTAAATTAACTCTGGTCACAATTTTCATCTGTTCTTTGGAAGAGGTTCTTTCTCTGTCATTTTAACCCTTTTTTTGATATCCTATAATGAGATTTATTAGTACTCTTACTAATCTTTGAGAAGATAGAGGGGGCTGTGCATGACTGTTTATGGTAGCAGGAATTCATGGTAACATGATGTTTGTTACAACATACTTTGTCTCTTGCTGAAAGAAGTCAGTAACTGTAAGGCTATTCACAATGAATTCTTTCTCTTTACCTCACCCACATTTCATGTATTAAAAACAGGGAGTGCCTTCTTGTGTTTTGTTCACCTCCATCTCCCTGTTCTCCCAGGTGCCAGATTGTGTCCAAGGAACCCTTACCACTAGCTGTCTAGTTCTTTCCAGTGTTCCAAACAAAGGATCCTTGGTTTTGTTCCTTGGGATATGTCTCCTAGTTTACAGATGCCTGATTTGAGGCTTAACTCAGATGAATTCTTAGTGCTTGGTTTTTGTCATTTAAATGGTTTTCCTCATTATTTTATAGTGTAGCTAAATGTGTCCTCCATGTTTTTTGTTGTTTTGTGTGTTTTGAGATGAAGTCTCTGGGTGTATTCAGAACCTTCCTGCTTCCACCTGGGATTAACAACATGTACCAGCTGCACCCAGTTATCTCACAGTTGTTGACAAATGAGCTTATATTTCTTTGTTTCTTGTTCTCCTCATTGGAGAATAACTTTTATGAAAAGGTGAAAGTACTTTAGTCATCTACCATTTTAAGATATGAAATTTACCTTATTCTTTTAAAGGACTGCACAGTGTTCCTTTGTATAGATTTAGCTATACAAAAATCACTTTGGTGGATGCTTGGATTCCAGTTTTTTGCTGTCACAAACAATGTATCATTAAAACATCTTCATGCATGGTTTTAACACCACTTTTTCTATATTTTGAATGATTTTTACTTTACACATCTTTATAACTAAAATTTCTTTAATGTTAACGTAGATTCCTGTGTTCATGCAGATTTTCAGTTCTGATAACCCTTCAAAAGAGATTACATCTTTACCAGTGCTAGACTTTTTTTTTTTTCCATATACATTTCTACTTGATTGAATTACTATAAACACAGAGCACTTAGGTAATCCTTTCTAAAAAAAAAAAAAAAAACAGTTCCAGTTTGCATGCATTTTCCCAAGTCTACATTCAGACTCCAATGTTAACATGTTTATTGCTTCTGGGGTCTCCAGTTTAACACCATACCTAACAGCAGCCTAATGCCACGAAGTAAAGGACACATCCTGGCTGTGGCACCTGATGTGATTTGGTATTTGTCTAGCATTTTTTTCCTCCATTTCCCAACTCTTGTTTAACTGAAGATATTATAAACTTTATGAGCCTGTGATTTGCTATCATTAAAGTTCTAGTTTAAGGAAAGAGTAAGTAGACATATTTTAATTATTATTTTTTTTTAATCTTTAAGTGGTTGTCTAAAGGAGTTGCCATTCTACTCAGCAGTTTATGAATACAATACACCTTGATCGATGTCACCCTTTCAGCATTCTCACCCATCCCTGGCAACCCACCCCTTTCCTTATTTTTCTTAATTTTGTAGGATATACACTGATTTCTTGATGCACTATCCTCCTTTCTCTTCCATTTCGCCTCTTCATTTGGAATAGACATCTTGATGAAGGGAAAATTTTTTACTCTCCCATTTCTTACTTCTATAACAAGAAGCTATGCTCAATTAATGTTTTCACCTATTAAAAACTATAGCTGATTATTATGATTATATGTTCACATTTATATCAGTAACAACTGTGTGTGGGAGAGAGAGAGACTGACAGACAGAGAAAGTACTTTTAAGTACAATTCAAAGAGGTCAAGAAGCACTGGGTAACTTATGATTTACCTGAATTAATAACCTTCACTTCCTTAAAATTATACATATGCATCCTTGTGTATATAATACAAATATATATTTTTAAAATAATTTTTTATAATGTTATTGAAACAAGTGGAGAAAAGTAGCTTGAGAACAATAGGACTATATTGATAGTTCTATTTGTTAAAACCAGTGAGTTCCAAGAGATATAAACCTTAGTTCTGTAAGTAATTATGAAAGGTTGTAGAGTCAAACAATTTGGAAAACATTGAGCCATATTGGTGCTTTTTTGTTATTGTTGTTGTTAGTTGTGGGGCTTGAACTCGGGCCTGGGTGCTGTCCCTGACCTCTTTTTGGTCAAGGCTAGAGCTCCACCTCTTTGAGCCACAGTACCACATCTGGTTTTCTGGTAGTTAATCGGAGATAAGAGTCTCAAGAATTTTCCTGCCCAGGCTGGCATTGAACTGTGATTCTCAGATCTCAGCCTCCTGAGTAGCTAGGGTTACAGGCATAAGCCAACAGTGCCCAGCCAAAATTGGTACTTTATGCTCCTTCACTGGTCTAGGATCTTTATGAGAGTCTCATGCTATGTTGATTATGACACTGTGAAGAAGATCCAACTGGAAGTAATTTCCAGTTTTATTTGCAGAATATCTTGTGGAACTAAGTGTTCTATGAGACATTTAAGGAAGTACTGGGTAAACAGAATGGACTGAAGGAAGATGTGTATGTTGTTTTTTTAGTCAGTTGAAATTTAATTAGATTTTTACCTGTTTACGTCAACTGTCATTTTATTTCTTATACATCTAGACCTTAGTTAAAAATTAATACTCCATTCTGCCAACTAAGCAGAGCAGCAAGTGTGTGTGTGTGTGTGTGTGTGTGTGTGTGTGTGTGTGTGTGTGTGTGTGTGTGTGTGTGTGTGTGTGTGTGTGTCATGGGGCTTGAACTCTGGGTCTAGGTGCTGTCCCTGAGTTCTTCAGCTCAAGGCAAGCACTCTACCACTTGAGCCACAGCTCCACTTTCAGTTTTCTGGTGGTTAATTGGAGATAAGCGTCTCTTAAACTACTTTTCTGCCTGGGCTGGCTTTGAACCGTGATCCTCAGATCTCAGCCTCCTGAGTAGCTAGGATTACAGAGCATGAGCCACTGGCGCCTGGCTAGACCAGCAAACTTTTGAAACTAAAAAGCTGAAAAGTTAAAAGCTGGGTGCTTGTAATCCTAGCTATTCAGGGCAGAAAAATCTGTGAGACTTTTATCTCCAGTACACTACTCAGAAAAGGCTTGAAGTGGTGCTATGACTCAAGTTGTAGAACACTAGCCTTTAGTACAAAAAGGCTCAGCCCCCAGGCCCTAGGACCAGCAAAATAAATAAATAAAAAGTAGAAGTTAAAAATCTTAACTTTTATAAACATATAAATTTCAAAGGAAATAACCTAATTCAACTGGCATATGATATCCCCTTCATCCTTGAGTTCTTGGCATGTTTTCTTTTAGCTATTCAAAATTCCTTTTCGGTTATTTTTTATGTGTACATGACATTGAGTTTTAAATTTTTACTTTATTGTTATTATAAGGGTGATGTACAGGGGGATTACAATTACATGAGTCAGGTAATGAGTACATTTCCTTTCATATAGTGTCTTCTTTTCCCTCACTCTCTCTCTCAGTTCCTCCCTCCTGTCTCCACCCAGGAGTTGGATAGTTGACTTTCTTCAGTGTCCAGTGAGCTCCACTGCTGTACTTTTTTACCCTTTTTCCCTCGAGCTCTGTGCCTTCCCCCCACTCTCCTGAAGATATACACGTGAATACACCATACATAAAGAAGACAGAATAATCGTGTGTGTGTGTGTGTGTGTGTGTGTGTGTGTGTGTGTGTGTCTGTGTAAGGCACATAGGCATTGCTTCTTTGTGTTTCTCTCCTAAGAGTATCATCTTTTGATCTATGTGTGAATATCTAGAATCCTGGATAATTTATGGTATCCCCATGTATTTTAGATCTGATTTCTACATATCAGAGAGAACATGTGCCTGGCACATTTTTATTTGATTAAATTCAGTCTCCTTTTTGCCCCTAGGGCATATCTAAAATTTTGACTTCCAAGTACTCACATTTAGTAATTATAAAGCAGAATAAGTATGGTCCACTTGTAATAGGTCTGTCAGTTGGATGTTTTACCCATTATATTGACATTATCTCTATGAAGACTATATCAGTTAATATGCTTTGTTTATACTTGTGATATAGGTGCCTTGGCACAAAAAAGTTTCTTTTGCAGTACAAAAAAAAAAAAAAAAGAGTTTGGAGGATAGAATAATCAAATCTAGGAAAATTGAAAGCATAGATGGATAGGAGATCTTAGAACTCATATACCTTGGAAGATGAGTTTTAAAAATACTTCTCCTTCCCTCCCCCCTAAGAAATTAAGGTTCTTCCGAGACAAATAGGCTGCTTTAAGATTTTTTTTTTTGTTAGTGTTAAAATCTATATGATATATTTTCGTTAACATTTTTTATTTGTGTGTGCCAGTACTGAGGCTTGAACTTAGGGTCTCTTGCTCTTGCTCAGCTTTTTTTTCTGATGGCTAGTACACTAGCACTTGAATCATGCCTCCATTTTCAGCCTTTTTTTGGTTAATTGGAGATAAGACTTGTAAATTTGTCTACCCAGGTTGGCTTTGAACCTCAATCCTCAGTGCTTTACCTCCTGAACAGCTAGTATTATAGGTGTGAGCCACTGCTCCTGGCTGAATTTGGTGGTGGTGGTGGTGGTGGTGGTTATGAGGCTTGAACTCTGGGCCTGAGCGCTGCCCCGCAGCTCCTTAGCTCAAGGCTAGCACTCTCCCACTTGAGCCACCGTGCCACTTCCGGTTTTCTGGTGGTTTATTGGAGATAAGAGTTTCACAGTTTTTCCTTCCCAGGCTGGCTTTGAACAACAATCCTCAGATCTCAGCCTCCTGAGTAGCTAGGATTACAGGCGTGAGCCACCGGCGCCCAGCTCTGGCTGAATTTTTTTGAGTATAAATATATGTATCTAGGCAATCAAACTATGCTTGGAAATTAATTTTAATTAATTATTTCAACAAAGACTTGCAAACAAATGTTTTCCTGGTTTTTAAAACTCATATTAGGATATTATAGGCTATAGCATCAAATAATTCTAAACAAAGTAATTGTCCTCTACCATAGATGTTTATTTCAGATGGTCAAGGAACTCAACTCTCTCATTCTGAGCTCTTAAGCTTTCAATACATGGTTTCAAGAGCTTTTGGGGCTGGGCGCCAGTGGCTCACACCTCTAATCCTAGCTATTCTGGAGTCTGAGATCTCAGAATCATGGTTCAAAGCCAGCCCAGGTAGGAAAGTCCATGAGACTCTTATCTCCAATTAACCACCTGAAAACCAGAAATGGTGCTATGGCTCAGGCGTTAGAGCACTCATCTTGAGCTGAAGAGATGAGGGACAGCGCCCAGACCGAGTTCAAGTCCCATGACCAACAACAACAACAAAAGTAACAACTACTTTTGGGGATTATCTCTATCTTGTAGTCTAGAAGAAAGAGTATAGAAGGGTGTGTTGCTTGCATTGTCATGAAATAAATTATTTTTTATTTACATTCCATTAGCTAGAGATTAGTTACATGGCCATATCTAAAATAGTGAATACTAGGAAGTAGTGTTAAGCTGTGTGCTTAGAAGAAGAGAAAGAAGAGATTTGGAAAATGACTAGCTAGCAGGCTATCTCCTGCACTTATGCTTTAAAGTTTTCTTAAGGTTAAACACTTATCTTTCAAGGATTTCTGACGTTGTGTAACTTGCAATATTCTTCCCAATTTAGGAATTACACTATCAGAATATTTCCGTGACATGGGCTACCACGTCAGTATGATGGCTGACTCTACCTCTAGATGGGCTGAGGCCCTTAGAGAAATCTCTGGTCGCCTAGCTGAAATGCCTGCAGGTATTTCTTTGTATTGTTTATCTTATAAGCCACTGATAGTATTTTAGGAGCTTATTTAGGACACCCTTCAAATTTTTTTTTCCTCTTTTAGACAGTGGCTATCCTGCATATCTTGGTGCCCGGCTGGCCTCTTTTTATGAGCGAGCAGGCAGAGTGAAATGTCTTGGAAATCCTGAGAGAGAAGGGAGTGTCAGCATTGTAGGAGCGTAAGCATTCAAACCATTTACTTTTCTCTCTTTAAAAAATTCTTTTTTTCTGAAAATAGGAGCTTGTGGGTAGCCCAGGTTAGGCTGGGACTTGCAATCCTCCTGCTTCTGCCTCCTGAATGATAGAATTATAGGCTTGCACTGATATATCCCGCTCATATAGTTTGCTTATCAAAAGAAACAAGTTACCTAAAGAGAAAATATTCTTCATCTGGGAGCAGTGGTTTTTAAGCAGAACCACTTAGGCTACCCTACAAAGTTAGATATGTTAAGGTGAGATTTGTGTCATGGGAAAAACAGATTCACTGCATAAAGCTCATACTTGGTTCTTAGAGCTTTTCCTTCCTTTATGCTTTATCTACTTGATAAAGCTTATTATACTTTTAAAATTTTTTCTTATTTATTATATTGGAAGGTATCCTATCGTTTTCCTCTTTGCTAGGTTTGGTGGTGCACACCCTGCTACACAGGAGGCATAAGTAGAAGGACTGAAGTAAGGGCTAGCCTCAGATTAAAAAAAAAAAAAAGTGAGACACTATCTAAAAAATAACTAAGGCAAAAAAGACAGGCTTTAACTCAAGAGTAATGTACCTGCCTCACAAGCATGAAGCTCTGAATTCAGATGTTTGTATTAGTAAGCTATTTTCATGTGTTTTAAATTAATGTGTATTTATTTTCATTTAGGGTTTCTCCACCTGGTGGTGATTTTTCAGATCCGGTAACATCTGCTACTCTTGGTATTGTTCAGGTATGTCTGTGCCTTGTATAGCCATCTTCTGAGCCTTTCTCCCTCTGCCTTCCCAGGTGTTCTAATAGTAGCCAAATCATCATGAAATATTTAATTTTACACCCAAAGAATAGGCAGTGGCAAAGTGTATTTTAGGAACATCATTAACACTGAGAGCTTTTAATATTCTCTGTTTTTTGCCTTGGTCTTCAACAGGCTTTACCATAAACTTAACGTGTATATGACATGTTAATGTGATACATGGCAGGTAACACATTTTTATTAAGGTTAGAATTGTGTTACCATTTAAGCTAGAATAGAAGTGGATATGCCCATTACAGTATTATAGCAAAAAATTTAGAGGTTTCTACTCACAGCGTGGTCCAAAGCAGATGATATTATCAGAAAGTAACTTTTGAATCAGTCATTTTTGAAGCTTAGGGCTCCTCCCATGCTGTGGCTGCGTTGTCACTTGGCCAGGCAGTCTCCATCTGGCTGGCATGCATGCAGAAGGCACATCCGCTCCTTGATCCTGGGGCTCAAAAGTAACAATCATTCTACTCATTCTTTTATCTATTCCCAAATGATAGCAAGGCTAGGAAATGTAGTTTCTACTATGCAGTTGCTTCCTTGTGACAAGACATTAGTTTAGTGGATAGCTAGCTAATGTGGCCATTATAAGAAGCTTTGATAAAAGACGTGTGTGAATTAGAGCTGTACTTAAAAAAAAGAAGAGATGTTCATTAGTGTATACTCACATATGTAATTCCTATGGGACAGAATATTTACCTATATTTCTAACAGTATCAAATGGTATGTCAAAGGCTGAATTTACAACTGTTAAAGCTGTTAAAGTCTTTAACACTTGCTAAAATTTTGAGTTTTAAATTGTGGAAAGGGGGAACAAAGTTAAGTATACTTAAAATTTGTATCTGTTAATGTTTGGCCTGGATTGGTCCTTAATGATCAGAGCTGAATTTAATCAGAACTTTTAGAGGTGTTTCATCACACACTGAAATGTCTGTTCCATCTCAGAAAACTTTTTCTAGTTCTTCTATGTATACTGTCTTATAATAATCTTAAAATAGTCAAGTTTTCTTTTACTATCAAATGTGACAGCCACTAAGAAAATTAAGATAAAATTTGAATTTGATTTGTAGGTGTTACTTACCCTGAAAATGAGAGGTTACATTTTGATTTTGGTACCTTGCATCTTGTATATATGCTTATCTAATCTGGGGAGGGGAAAGGGAATAACAAAACGATGAAACAAGGACCCAGGATGACTCATTACAACAATGGTACCCACAGGACAGTATATTGGAAATGGACTTCAGGTGGGGGGGGGCAGTGTGGGAGGTGGGGGAGGGAAGGGATAGCGGGACAACAACAAGGGAAGGGGTATCGATGATTGACAAGTGATGTACGCATCTAACTGTAATACCCCTGTACAGCATCTTTGCAGTAAAATTTTTGTAAAAAAGTAGTGGATATAGTTATATAGAGGGGTTACCATTTCATAAATCAGGTAATGAATTCTTTTTTTTTTTTCTTTTGGACAGTATCACCCCTCCCATTACTTTTCCTCAGTTTCACCCTTCCCATCCCTGCCCACAAGTTATATAAGCCATTTCCACATAGTGTATAAAACAACATGATTGCATTCTTCACCTTTCTTCCCTCCCTTTCTGCACCCCATTCCTTAAACTCCCCCCAACAGAAAAAAATTCCAAAGCGAAAACAAACACCACCCCCAACAATAACAAATATCATGTTTCCATTTTCTGGAGTTTGTTTTAATAAATAGTATTTTAAATGTTCAGATAGATTACACCTTTGCATTCTTCTTTTAAGAGTATCCTCCATTAGTCTGATTATTTGTGTGTGAATGCCTAGAGTCCTATGAGGATTAAATTTTTAATTAAAGTTTTATTCAAGTTGTATTCTATTTTTTATTTTTATTTTTACCAGTCCTAGGCCTTGAACTCAGGGTCTGGGCACTGTTCCTGAGCTGTTTCTGCTCAAGGCTAGCGCTCTATCACTTGAGCCACAGCACCACTTACGGCTTTTTCTGTTTATTGGTACTGAAGAGTCAAACCCAGGGCTTCATGCATGCTAGGCAAGCACTCTACCATTAACCCACATTCCCAGCCTTGTATTCTGTTTGAATCACATATGGCTTATACTAAAAATAAAATAAAATTTCAAGGTACATTGTACTCATGAATTGACATGTTGGATTGAAACCCCTTTGTACAACAACTAAAGTTAATTTTTAAAAAATTAAAAGGTTAAGTTTAAAATTGCACATGTGGGGCCCACAAATATACTGCAATACTTTTTAAAACTTTTCAAGAAAAACAATTTTGTTTGTTTTTTAATCAGGTGTTCTGGGGCTTAGATAAGAAACTAGCTCAGCGTAAGCATTTCCCCTCTGTCAATTGGCTCATCAGCTACAGCAAATACATGCGTGCCTTGGATGAGTACTACGACAAACACTTCACAGAGTTTGTTCCTCTCAGGACCAAAGCAAAGGAAATTCTGCAGGAAGAAGAAGACCTGGCAGAAATTGTACAGCTTGTGGGAAAGGTGAGTTGTTAAATGTCCTGGAGGTTACAGTAATCTGTAGGTTACAGTAAAACATTATAAAAGACAAGTTAAACCATGAATGTGCAGAGTTTTGCAAACTTACTACTTAATAAGCTTAATTTTTGAAAACATAAATACCAAATATTTTTTAAAAACTAATTAAATTGTCTAGTTATTCATAGTACTTAAAATAAATCCATGGTCCTGGATTTATTATAGGTGAACACTTATAAGAGTGCAGGTAATTAACTGGATTTGAAAATTTTTCTTACTGCCAAGAAATAATCTTGGTTGGTGATTCTAGTAACTGTGCTATTATCTCTTAAGGCTGATAGGGTAGTTGAAAGACTTATAGCTTGTGTATAAGTAAGTATACTTACCTATAATATACATATATTTCATCATTCATGCCATATTAAAAAAATGCGAACCTTTGGTGGCTCACTTCTATAATCCTAGCTACTCAGGAGGCTGAGATCTGAAGACTGGTTTGAAGCCAGCCAGGGCAGGAAAGTTCTTGTGACTTATCTTCAATTAAGCTAGAAATAGAGCTGTCACTCAAGTGGTAGAGTGCTGACCTTGAGAACAAAAACAAACCAAGACGTGAAAAAGTATCTTTTTAAAGAACCATATCAGTTTGTACATCTACAAGTGATGGGCAAACACATATTCAAACAGTAGGATATTATTCAGCCTTTTTGTTTGTTTATTTGATAAGTGCTGGAGTTTGAACTCAGGGCCTCATGTTTGCTAGGCTAGCATTATACCACGTGAGCCATGACCCCAGCTCTTTCCTGCTTTAGTTATTTTTTAGATAGGGTCTTGCATTTTTACCTAGGGCCTGCTTTGGATTGCAGTCCTCTTACCTGTATCTTTCCTGCACAACTAGGATTACAGGAATATGTCAGCATGTTCAGCCCTTGTTCAATTTTTTTTTATAATGTTATCCTAGGATTTAAACTCAGTCAGTGCCTGGGCAGTGTCCCTGAACTTGTTAGCTCAAAGCTAGCATTCTACCACTTGAGCCATAGCTCTGCTTCCAGCTTTTTGTTGCTTAGCTAAAGATGAGAGTCTCACAGACTTTCTGTCTGAGCTGGCTTCAAACTGCAATCCTCAAATCTCAGCCTCATGAGTAGCTAGTATTTACAAACATGAGTCAGCCTTAGTTAGCCTTTCAAAGGAAAAAAAAAATCATGGCACTGCTACAGTATAAATCAGTCTTGAGGACATTATGCTGAGTGAAATGAGGCAGTCACAAAAACATAAATACTATGTATTTACACTTACATGAGGTATCTAAAGTAATAAAAGTCAAAGAAACAAAGTAGGATGGTGGCTACCAATATCTGCAGGGAAGGGGGAAAAGGAAATCACCGTGTATGAGCATAATGTTTCAGATTTACAAGTAGGAAAAGTTCCGAAATGTTTGGCAACAGTGTGTGAATGTACTTAATTCTACTGAGCTATACTCTTACAAATTGTTAAAATGATCAATTTTATGTTACATACTTTTTTTTTTTGCCAGTCCTGGGCCTTAAACCTAAGGCCTGGGCTCTGTCCCTGAGCTTCTCTGTGCTCCAGGCTCGCACTCTACCACTTGAGCCACAGTGCCACTTCTGGCTTTTTTCTGCTTACATTTGAGGAATCGAATCCAGGGCTTTGTGCGTGCTAGGCAAGCACTCTGCCACTATGCCAATTCCGAGTCCCTATTACATACTTTTTATTGCATTTAAAAAGGAACAATCAGCCAGTGACTAACACCTATTATTCTACTCGCTGCTCAGGAGGCTAAGATCTGAGGATCATGGTTTAAAATCATCATGGGCAGAAAAGTCCAGGAGACGCTTATCTCCAAAAAGCTGGAAGCAGAGTTATGGCTCAAGAGGTGGAGTGCCAGTCTTGACCACAAAAATTGAGAGATATTCAAGTGGTAGGGCACTTGCCTTGAGCTGAAGAGTGCAGGGAAAGCACCCAAGCCCTGAGTTCAAGCCCCACGACTGACCAAAAAAAATTGAGAGATAGTACCCTAGCCCTGAGTTTTAACCTCCAGTATCAGCACACACACACACACACAGAATAGTCAAAAAGAAGTTATAAAGTTATTTTATTGGTAAGTAATTTTGTATTGATTATATGATTTTACCTTGCTGAATAGATGATTGAGTAGTTGTCACCATTGGTCTCTTATCATGGAGTATATTTATAAAAATACATTTTTTTCTATTCTAGGCTTCCTTAGCAGAAACAGATAAAATCACCTTGGAGGTAGCAAAACTTATCAAAGATGACTTTCTACAACAAAATGGATATACACCCTATGACAGGTAAGCTATGTTGCTTTTCATTTTTTATTTGAGTATTTTTTTGGTTGTGTTTTAACAAAGTAGCTGCCTATACATTAAGAACTTTTTCAGACATGCCCTAACTCTATATTGGCTTATTTTGTATCTAAAATGTCCCCTAGTCTTGATTTGCTTATTTATTATGTTATGGCTATCTTCACACATATAATCATCTATAATTAGAGTAAATTATAGCTTTGTTTTCAGAGTCTGGATGGTGATCACTACCTGCCTCAAAAAGTTTTTTTGCAATTTCTTTCCATTGCCCATGTCTTTTATTTCTTGCTTAAATAATTATGTTCTGCTTTTCTGACTCATTTCTCAAGAGTCATGTCTCTTTCTAAATGTCCTTGTTGGGTATGCTATGAACTATGTCTTGTAAATAGTTCCCATTTCCTTTAAATGGGAATTTGAGCCTTTCTTCTTACATTAGCTTTTTTCCCTCAAGTCATTTTTTACATCATCTAAGAACTGAAAAGAAGAGAGAAAATAGACTAACCAGAATGTGGGGCAAGCAAACAATATGTGAATACGTCGGTAAGCCTCAGAACTCCGCTATGTTAGGAGTGGTACTGAAACTCCCACATAAAGATAAGTCAATCAAGGGAAAAATTGGTATATAACAGGGGTGTATATAAAATTCAGTGTTTTCTCATATATGTGTTTGTTAAAAGGTATAGATAAGTGGAAATGAGCACATTAAACAAAAGGAGACTGGGGACTGATGACTCATGCCTGTAATGCTAGCTACTCAGAGACTAAGAGCTGAGAATCATGGTTTGAAGCTAGCCTGGGCAACAAGATCCTTAAGACTCTTATCTCCAATTAAACACCAGAAAAGTGGGAAATAGAGCTGCGACTCAAGTAGTAAAGCAGTGCCTAGGCCCTGAGGTCAGGCCCCAGGACTGGCACAAAATAAAATAAATTAAGTAAAATGTAAAATGGGTCACTATTAACTTTAACATTCTGCAGTTTCTTGCTTTCCAGTTGTTCGTTATGCTTTAACCTAGGATCACAGGGGATCTTTACAGTTCAGTTATTTTACCACTCAAGTTATTATTTAACTGCATTGTTAAAAACAAAAACAATCCTGTTCCTCTTGTTCCATGGATTTAACAGAGGAAAAATAGTCATTACCTTCAAAATAAATAGTATGTTTCTCTACATCTATATGTCTGTCCCAAAACTTAAGTAGTTTTTTCTGTTTTCTACTGTTCTTTTTCCTTCTTTGTGTATCATCCCATAAATAAAAGCAGTTTGAGCCGGGCGCTGGTGGCTCACGCCTGTAATCCTAGCTACTCAGGAGGCTGAGATCTGAGGATCGAGGTTCAAAGCCAGCCCGGGCAGGAGAGACCGTGAGACTCCTATCTCCAATAAACCACCAGAAAACCGGAAGTGGCGCTGTAGCTCAAGTGGTAGAGCGCTCACCTTGAGCTGAAGAGCTGAGGGACAGCGCCCAGGCCCAGAGTTCAAGCCCCACGACCGACAAAAAAAAAAAAAAAGCAGTTTGTATATTTAAATAGAGAAGCTAGTGCCCAGGTAGTTTGTAGCTACAGATTTTTATAATGAAACTGTTTTCACTTTGCAGTTGGAGATTATTTTTGCTAATTGATCTGATCTTCCTTTGTTTTAGGTTCTGCCCATTCTATAAGACAGTAGGGATGCTGTCCAACATGATTGCATTTTATGATATGGCCCGAAGAGCTGTTGAAACCACTGCCCAGAGTGACAACAAAATCACATGGTCCATTATCCGTGAGCACATGGGAGAGATCCTCTATAAACTTTCCTCCATGAAATTCAAGGTAGAGTTTTCTACTGTGACTTTTTTTTTGTTAATCTCCCTACTTTCTCCTCCCTCTCCTCCCTTCCCTTCCTTCTCTCTCCTTCTCCTCCCCTTCTCCTCTCCTCCCCTCCCCTCCTCTCCCCTCCCCTCCCCTCCCCTCCCCTCCTCTCCCCTCCCCTCCCCTCCCCTCCCCTTCCCTCTCCTCTCCTCTCCTCTGCTCTCTTCTCCTCTGCTCTCTTCTCCTCTGCTCTCCTGTTCTCTCTCCTTCTCTCCTCTTCTGTCTGCTCCTCTCCTCTTTTTCTTCTCTCCTCTCCTCTTCTCTCCTCTCTTCTCTTCTTCTCATCTTATTTCCCCTTCTTTCCTTTCCTTTCATCCCAAACCTGGGGTATAAAATTTGTTTATTTTCACATGTGCTCAAGTTGTATGAACCCAGAATAGGCCTCAAAGTTAGTTTCAGTATAGTATATGTGGGGGTGGATTTCCATGTATAACTCCTTTGAAAAATTAACAGTAACAAAATGAAGCAGAGACAGCTGGGGGTTAAGAGGAAAAAGGCAGATGAATGGGGAGAGGAGTGGTAGACAAATGCAGCCATAGTACTCAATGTACATATGTGAAAATGGAACTTGGAAATTTGAGGCAATGGGTAAAGTTGGATAGATGAAGGCAAAGAATTCTGGAAGTGATGACATTATACACAAAAATTGACGTTAAGTTGAGAAACCTCTTGCTGTAGCTATTTAAAGTTAATAAAAACTATTTATTTATTTATTTATTTAGCTATATTTATATATTTATTTTGTTGGTTGTGGGGCTTGAACTCTAGGCCCTGCGCACTGTCCTTCAGCTCTTCAATTCAAGGCTAGTGCTCTACCACTTGAGCCACAGTGCCACTTCTGACTTTTTCTGCTTATGTGGTGCTGAGGAATCGAGCCCAGGGCCTTATGCACGCAAGGCAAGCACTCTACCACTGAGCTATCTTCCCAGCTAAAAATTAATTTTTAAAAATGGAAAAAAGCAGAATTCCAATGATAAAAATTGTAGTATGTCATGTCTGAAATAAGTGCTGATGATTTTTTTCTTTTGTGTTAGCATAGGCAATTTAGAGCTAAGTTCATTGCTGAACAGTAATTACTTTACTTCACATGCTAATATGATAGCGCCCGCATTCTTCTGTAATGATGTCTGCTCTGTTGACTTCTTTTAAACAACTACCTGATGTACATTATTTTTAACATTTTTATGATCTTTCACTATTTTGTAAATATCCAAGAAAAATAAATAAAGTGAAATTACAGTAAAATCCAAATATATGAGACTGCTGAAAAAATTGGCTGTTGGGCATTGGTGGCTCAAGCCTGATTCTAGTTGCTCAGGAAGCTTAGATTACAAGATTGGGGTTTGAAGCCAGGCCAGACAGAAGAGTCTAAAAGACGTATTTCCAGTTAACCTGCAAAATGCTGGACTGGAAGCATGGTTTACAAACTTGAGTCCCAGAGTTCACCCCAATACACACGCACACACGTGCACACACACACACACACACACACACACATACACATTTTTAAGATATTTAATCAGTTGGGTTGATTGCATTGTTTACAGTTTATGACATCAGGTATATTTATTAGTCACCTATTGTATTATATAGTGTAAATTTTTAAAAATAATTTATATGGATAGTATGTGTGCTTACTCACTCTTTAGATTGAAAATACAAATCTGTTCAAATAGTTTCAAAAATTTTTAAGTATTCCTAACCTTTGAGTCTTGTCATTTCACTTTGAGATGTATGAGCAGATTTTTTTTAATGGTTGTGGGAATTGCCTGTGCATACTAAGCAAGTATTCTACTACTCAACTGTACACTCCAACCTATCTATCTAGATATCTATCTATCTACCTACCTATCTACCTACCTATATATATATTTGGGGGGAGGGGCATTGGTTGTGGGGCTTGAACTCTGGGCATGGGCACTGTCCCACAGCTCTTTAGCTCAAGACTAGTGCTCTACCACTTGAGCCACAGTGCCACTTCTGTCTTTTTTTTTTTTTTTTTTGTGGTGCTGAGGAATTGAACCCATGGCCTCATGAGTGCAAGGCAAGCACTCTACCACTGAGCCACCTTCTCAGCCCAAGATAAATACATATTTTTTAATGTGTATATGTGTAAAAGGTTATTTCTTGAAGTTCAAAATGTCATTTAAAATATAAACAGAGATAGTGGTTTATTATGTCATGTACATAAGATAATATGAAAGTATTGATGTCTGTTTTAAAAACAATATTCAAGGATATGAAGAAATGCTTGTGATAGAGAGTGAAAAAAAATCAGGTGTAATTTGACCTAAATTTTATCTTTAAAATTACATAGTCATAGGGAAAAAAAATTAAGAAATATACCTGGTAGTGTATTTTTAAGTTGAAATCTTTTTTTCCTATTGAGGTTTTTGTATCAAATTAACATCGTAAAAATTTTTTAATGTCATTCGATATTCTATAGCATTGTCTTGGGCTAGAAAGCAATCTTTTTCTTTTTCTTTTTTTTTTTAGAAAGCAATCATTTTCATCCTTAGACAGTTACCTTTCCAATTATTGGTGTGCATGATTCTGTAATTCTATATGTAGTTGATTTTGAGCATTTTCGTAGAGAGCTTAAACATTTTACAGTCTCTTTTATACATATTACTCAAGTTGCTTTCCATAAGGATTTTTTTGCTAGTCCTGGGGCTTGAACTCAGGGTCTGTGCACTATCCCTGAGCTTCTTTTGCTCAAGGCTAGCTCTGTACCACTTGAGCCACAGTACCATTCTGGCCTTTTCTGTGTATGTGGTACTGAGGAATCAAACCCAGGGCTTCATGCATGCTAGGCAAGCACTCCACCACTAAGCCACATTCCCAGCCCTCCATAAGGATTTTAAGTATGGTGCTTTATTTTCCAGATTTTCCTTCTCCATCTGAATGTAGTAATACTGACTGATTGTGCTGTGACTAAGTGAATTCTCAGTTACCATAGTTAGTCACACTTACCTGCTGCCTGCACGTTATTGAGGTTTAGTCATTGAACATAGCTAGCAGGCAAAATATAAAAATGGAATTTTTTTTTCTGTACAGTTGGGGTTTAACTCCATTTATACATTCCTACCTGTGAAGGAGAATGGAGGTACTTTTGACTCCTGCCTGTGTACCTCATTTTATATTAGATATAAATAAGTTGATACGCCCTGAAATTATTTTCCAAAGGCAAATTGAATTTCTAATGTCTTTTTTCAGGATCCAGTGAAAGATGGAGAGATGAAGATCAAGAGTGACTATTCACAACTTCTTGAAGACATGCAGAATGCATTCCGTAGCCTGGAAGATTAGAACTGTGATGATTTCTTTCCTCTTCTTCAGCAAGTTCATACGTGTATATTTTCCTAAATTCCTCAGCTCAAGCCCTTGGCTTCTTTTTTGTGCAGCTTTGAGATTAGTGCCTATGTATGTTACAAGTTGTTTTGCTGTTTATTTGGCAAGTCTGATATAAAACAAACATTCCTTTGTTCCAGTGTTTGAGGGGCTCCCTGATCCCTTATCTGAAGTGGTGAATGTAGTAAATATGACGTACAATAGCTACATACTGTAAACTTGTTTGTATAGTGGCAACCTTCCTTCTCCTAGATGTGCCCTTTTCTTCATCTCCATTAAATTATAAACAGAACCTACTGCATGTGTGTCTTTGAAATGGATTTGGAATAGAAGGCCCTTTGAAAGGAACATTGGGAAATGACTCAGTTTCTATGCACGTGCAGCTTTGCTCAGTCACTGACTTGCAGGAAATATTTACTTTTAAAACCATGTATGATTAATGTTCCAGTTATGCATTACTTCCTCAGTATAAATCAGGAATATTTATGGGGAACTGTTGGGAACTATGAAAGTATATTTCATTTCATTAGAAATAACTCCGTATCAAAGACTATAAAATACTGCATTGCTAGGAAGTTTTTTTAATATTACATTTGAAACCATCATCAAAAATTTAATGCACATCATATTCTCATTCTTTTCCTCAAACATCTTAGAAGCCGAAGCTCCTAAGGTTATATTCCAGTGTGGTGAGCAGGAAAATGCCATAGGGAACACAGTAGTAGTGAGTAAAAGCTGATTGCCTTTTTTCTTTTTGAGTGCAAGTCCTGGGATTGAATGCAGGGCCTAGGTGCTGTCCTTGAGCTTTTGTCTTTAGGGCTTGTAATCTACCACTTGAGCAACACCTTTATGTCTGCCTTTTGTATAGCTAAATGGAGATAAGAGTCACAGACTTTCCTCCCTGGGACGGCTTCAAACCATGATCATCAGATCTCAGCTTCCTGGCTCACAGTTTTAAGTCGCCAGCACCCAGCCATGGCTGGTTATCTTTTACAAAACAGCTGGGCTCTAAGTGATTCTTGGGGCCTGAGTGGTATTGTGTTTTTGTTAAGTAATGACTTGAGTCATTTGTTTGCATGTTTTTTGGCTTGCTGAATTTTTGAACAATCAATTTACCAAATGGAGAAAATATCACTTTGATGTGGTTTTTATTCACTAGCTCAGGTTTCTCAAAATACCTATGGCCATAACAGCATAATAGTTTTCCATTCTGTGTAATAGGGATGAATTAATTCTTAACATCTACTGATAATAGAAACCAGGTCATTTGAAAACAAAAGGATGAATTTCATCCTTCTTTTAAGAATATGTTTTAAAAGCAATTTCTGCATTTACATAGTAAGGCACATTGCAGAACAGCCCTGAGAGCAACTCTTTCTCATGAACTCTTCCTGAACAACAGTGTTAGCACCATTGCTTTCTTTTAGGGGAGAGGAAAGGGATGAATAGTCTACCAATCTCCAATATGCATATGTAATAGGATAAATAAAGTATTTATTTTATGCCTCAGTTTGTTATTTAAGTTTTCAGATAATGCATTTCTTTTGGTCTGTTAAGGGTAGATTAAGTCAGATGGAGTTTTATGTAAATGCTTGCAGTATCCATGTTTTTACACTCAGTGGTCTACTATTCAGGAGATAACTCTGCCATATAACTTTTTTTTTTTAACTTTCAACAATGTTGACCAATAAGGATTATGCAATGACTTGAGATGTGGACTTAATGGTGCTGCCATATCAGTTTGCTTCCAACTCAGACGCCCTAAGACTAGTAGAAATCAGAAAGGTTCCAAAACTTTCTATTATTGCGTTAACCCTACCAGCAAACTGGGAGTTTGATCATAATGAATGATCTGAAGAAACTAGTTGACCAAGTTTTTGTTTTTGTTGTCTTAATTTTGAGATGTGGATTCTTACTCCTTTGAAGAATGTTGATGTACAAGTGTGAAGATGCTAGAGAAAAGATGCTCAGATATTCACTGTTAAGTTTTCCTTCACCTATATGTTGTAGAATTTCAGATTGTTCACTGATAGTATTTCTTTAATAAGGATGTGTTAAAATTACAGCAATCTTTTAAAAAGATTATGCAGTTAAAAAAGTGTATGATTGTGCTGTGCCTGGTCCTAAGTGCAGCCAGTTAAATAAGTTTCGTATGTATTTTTCCAGTGTTAAATCTTATACATTGTACCCTTTGGAAATTTCCTTCTATCCTGAACAAACTAGAAGTCATATACATATATACATGTATATGTATATATATATTGAGTCTTATTCTTGAAATTTCACTCTCTTTATGTTAAACATTGCATATAATTATTAAAATCTATGAAAGAATAAAAAGTGGATTTAAATTAACATTATTTTTCTTTCGGGGATTGGGCAAGATCTACTAGGAAATATGTCACAGTATTTTGTATTACTATTTCAGCATGTCCTTTTTTTTTCTTTCTAGGTTGTTACTTAAGATTATGAACTTGAATTGGGCTCTCATGGTATCCTGTATATATATATCATATATGGACATATATAATTACAATCATGTCCCACATGATTTAGAAATATATAGATTCTTATTCTGAATAATAAGTTAAAGTGAAAAAGTTTCTAAAAAACTTCTAAATTAAAGGACATCAATGATACTCATTTTAATTTTAAAAAAATCTTGGTTAAACAGAAAGGTTACAGTTACATAAGTCAGTCAAAGAGTACATTTCCTTTTGGACAATGTATTTCAAATTCATGATTTTGCAAGCCAGATTCGTTTATCACAATGTAGCAACATCTATCCAGTGTCACTAGGTAAATTAGCTAGAGTTCTCTAGAGAAACAGAAACAAAAGAATATGTAACTATAAAATGGATTGTATTGGAATAGTATACACAATTGGAGGTAGTCAGTTCACTAGTGGCCTGTACAAGGGACATCTATTGAGCCTGCTCACTTTTCCTCTTTAATAAAAGGAACAAAATATCATGGTGGGTAAGAATATGAATTCCAAAATTAGACTGTCCAGTTTCAAATCTTAACTATCCACTTCTAAATCTCAACTCTGCTACTTCCTCACTCTGTGACTTTGGGCAATCAACTTTTAACTTTTTAGTTTTCTCACCTCTCAAATTGAGAAGGTGAGTTTTTATTTTTTAAGAATCAGCATTCAAGGATTGAAAAGGTAGATGGATATACATGATTGTCAGGTTCACAACAGGTGGATTTTATTCTCTAATCTGTAGGAGAGCAAAGTATCTTTTTTCTACCCCCCAGCCTCTATTGCTAAAGGCAGATTATTGAAAAAAAGCAAGCAAATATATTTAATATGTTTTGCATAACATGAGAGGCTTCAAAAGCAAATGAAAAGCCAGGGTGCCTGTGGCTCACGTCTATCATTCTAGCTACTCAGGAGACTGAGATCTGAGGATCAAAGCCTCAGATTATCAAAGATAATCTGGGATTTATCTACAGTTAACCAGAAAAAAAAGTGAAGAGTGGAGATGTGCCTCAAATGATAGAGGACAAGCCATGAGTGAAGAAAGCTAAGCAAGAGCACAAGCCTCTCCAGCAGAACTGTAATCTTAAGCTGCAGCACCAACGCACACATACACTGATGTTTCTGAATAATAACCTAGACATTTGAAATATTTAGACAAGGCTGGTAGTACATGCATGTAATCCTCAGCACTTGGGAGCCTATGGGTAACAAGTTCATAGCCAACATGGACTCTACCACAACCACCAACAAAAATACAATAATAACAAAACCCCACAGATATTAATAAAATCATTACATCAGAGGGCTGGGTTTATAGCTGAGTGATGGAACACCCAGCGTTAGGTGAGAAGCCCTGAATGTCATCTAGCACCAAATTTTTTTTATCTTTTTATTGTGAAAATACTGTACAGAGGGGTTGCAATCACATGAGCAAGGTAATGAGTACATTTCTTATCAAGCATTGCTGCCTACGCCTTTGTTTTCCCCCTACCATCCCTTCCTTCCCATCTCTACAACTACATTCCCCAACCGCCTAAATTGTAAAGTTCGTTTTTCAACATGGTGTCTTGTACATCTCATTGTTGCAATGGGTCCACCTGTATCCCTATTTAAACAATTTGTTTTTTCCCTTCCACTCCCCAAATTATACCAACATCAAATACATTGAAAACAGGAGTTAGACCATGGGGGAGAGACGTACAAAGCAACAAAAAAAAAATCATGTGCTACCTTATAAATACATTAGAAACAATAGCAAGAAAGAAAAAAACCACTTGTGTCCTTGGGGTTCATTTCCCTTAACATGATCTTATCTGACCTTTTCTGCTTGTCTAAGATATATACTAGTTATTGCAAATAAGGGAAACCATGGGACCTATGTTTCTTTGGGCCTGGCTTGCTTCACTTAGTATAATTTTTTTCAAGTCTTTCTATTTCCTAACAAATGGGGCAATGTCATTATGATGGAGGAATAGAATTCCATTGTGTGTGTGTGTGATATATATATATATATATATATATATATATATATATATATATACCACATTTTCTTGATCCATTCATCTACTGAGGGGCATCTGGGTTGGTTCCATATCTTCGCTATGGTAAATAATGCTGCAAAAACATAGTCGTGCTGGTAGCTTTAGTATGGTCTTGTTTGTGATCATTTGGGTAAATGCCCAAAAGTGGGATTGCTGGATCATAGGGGAACTCTATGTGGAGTCTTTTGAGGAACCTCCATACTACTTTCCAAAGTGGTTGAACAAGTTTACACTCCCATCAACAATACAGTAAGGTTTCCTTCTGTCCACATCCCCTCCAGCATCTGTTGTTATTAGAGTTCTTGATTATCGCCATTCTAACTGGGGTGAGGTGGTACCTCAATGTTGTTTTGATTTGCATTTCTTTTATGGCTAGAAAGGTTGAGCATGTCTTCATGTGTCTATTGGCCATTCTTATTTCCTCTTCAGAGAAGTTTCTCTTTAAGTCTTTAGCCCACTTATTTATTGGGCAGTTGTTTCTTTGAGGATTTGTTGTTGGGGGATTTAATTTTTTGAGTTCCAGGTACATTTTAGATATGAGACCCTTGTCCTTTGTATGGCTAGTGAAGATCTTCTACCAATCCATGGACTTTCTATTGATCTTGCTAGCTATGTCCTTTGCCATGCAGAAGCTCTGCAACTTCATGCAATCCCATTTGTCTAACCATTCTTTGTTGTGTTTCTGGGTCTCTATTAAGAAAATTTCGGCCTCAGCACCAAATATTTTAACGTATAAGTCAGACATTGGGTAGCATGGCTAAGGACTCTTTCATGTGCAATAAAATCATAGAGTTTAAAAAGGTAAGGTGGATATTGGATATCTCTATTCTGTACTTCGTCACCAAGTTTGTTGTGAAGAGTAGAAAACTTGAATCCCACCAACCAGAGGAGAGAAACGTTGTAGAATATAATGAATATTTAGTAGAGATTAGAGCCATGCTTTTACAAGCTCACAGGTCCAAGAAATTCAGTGAAACTCATCCAGGACAGACACACATTCAAACATACCGATAAATCACACCAAGGTCTGTTATAATCAAGGTGCAATATAAAACAACACATTTTTTCTTTAGTAGGCAGAACCAACACTTCCCTCATAAATTATAACCACTAAATTGCTAATGATCTCACTAGAGAATGTTATTAAATAGTACTCTTGTGACATGTTAGATTCAATGAATAGATTCAACCTGTTGGACTCTAATTTCCAGGAAGAGATGTGAATAAAGAAAAACATTACCGTAACATGTTTAGTGATCTCTGAATTTAATTATACTATCAATATTGTTGGTCAGTATTTGCTTATATCCTTTCTACTTAAAATGGCAATGTTAAAATTAAGAGGTCTCTGGATGTGTTCGAGGTGGAGAGGTAGAGGAGTGAAGGATGGCAGGTCACCTTAGGTATGTTTATTTAACACCATAGGTCATAGGGCTACTTGAGACAGCATAAGGCATCCCATTTCAGAAATTGGCTCAAGATGGATTTAAATAATGCACAGTTTAAGGAAACATGAATCCAGAAGTCTAAATCTATTATTAAAGGATCTAATAGCTCTCTCAGCTTGTGCTTTTCTCTTTTCCCCCAACTCTAGCTTGTACTTCACATGAATCTTATTTACCAGTTCTGAAGTTTGTTCTATCCAATGATCTCATTCTGCTAGATCCCAGGAAATTTTAACCTCTGGCTACCCAACTTTTCAACCTCTTTTTCCCTATTAGCTCCTTCTTATCACATTGTAAATCTATTCCAGCCACTTTCATCTTGTAGAGACTATTCAAATCATAACAAACATCAATGATTTAATAATTAATATGCAATATTTAAATTGAGATATCAGTAAGCTGTATACCTGTGGTTCACTTTTTAATCCTAGCTATTCAAGAGATCAAAAGATCACTGCTAGCCTAGTCAGAAAAGTCTACAAGAGCCCCTCTCTGATTAACTAGTAAAATATGCATGATTCAGGTGGTAGAGCACCA